TTAAAGAAAACTACTTGCACTGATATTGTCAATAAACAATAGAAAGACTGGGAGGAGATGAGTCTAGTTTGTTTAAGGTCTTTATTTTTGTGGAGAGAAGGGTCATTACTGATGACTATTTTACTCCCACTGTAGAGGCTATCGAAGCATCAAAGTCTGTCTGAACACGGTATCAAGAATCTGCACAATGGTGACATTCTCCAAAAGCAGTTGAGTTTCAGTGAAGAACATATAGCTGCCCTGTGAATCAGTAAAGAATGGGGAGAGGTCGGGAAGCCAGCATGCAATGCCCACAGCTGGTCTGTCAATGAGTAATAGAGGGTTTAATTGCTGCCAGTGGATCATACCTAAATAATTCATTAGAAGAATAAGCTGATTTGGAGAAGAACCAGAAAAAAGTCAGAGGAGGGGTCATTTCAGAAAGCTAGGAGGACTCCAAAGCTTTTAATAGTAGGGGATGTAAAATAGGAGCCAGGAAGCAGCATGACTAAGAAGGTGAAATACTTTCCATTCCAGACAGTGAGCCCCCTGCAGCCTCTGCTCTTAAAGGTACATACTGTACTGTATTAGAGCTGCAGGCCTTGCTTGTCGAAGGATGGAGAATTTGCCCTGACAAGTTTTCTTTTGAAAATTCAAGATATTGTTGAAGAAAAAAAAAATCTAATCTGTGGCCAAACGACTAAGGAATATTCTAAGGAGTTATAACGAAAGAATAGATATTACATGTTTAGCTGACTATGGTACTGAGCTCCGCAGGGCTAAAACACAAAATTCTCTTGCATTTTATCTTTGAAGGGGAAATTTACCAAAAAATTGTGCCAGTAATTGCTGGGAGCACCAGCATAGACAGGGCTCTGGCAGTTTCTGGCATTTTTACTGCTGTTTTAGTGAAACTCAACTCACCCTTTGCTAGAGCCCCACTTACTCTTTCATTTCTGTTTTCTACCTCACTCCCAACATCCCTGTTCTATTAATATTCCTAAGTAAGATAGGGTTAATCTGAGAACCCCTGCCCTAGAGGTCATTACTGGGAGGGGCAGCATGGGGGCTAATGAGTAGGGAGCACATGGAGATGTTCTTTTTTTCTGTTCCTCAAGTAGGACTTTCCCCTGCTTCCGTCAAACCGGAAATGCTGTATGCGCCGAATAACTACTTACTCCCCTCTAAAGATGGCTGTGAGCTCCACAGACTCCCCTGCTGTTCAGTTTTTCTTCCTTAGCTCGTCAGGAGTCTGTGCTGAGCCAGGACGCATTGAAAACAGGAAATACTGTAGCTCAGTGGTTCTCAACCAGGGGCCCGGGGCTCCCTGTGGGACTGCAAGCAGGTTTCCGGGGGTCCGCCAAGCATGGCTGCCATTAGATTCGCTAGGGCCCAGGGCAGAAAGCCGAAGTCTCGCCAGGTGGGACTGCAGCCTGGGGCCCCGAGCCCTGTCACCTTGGACTGAAGCCAAAGCCTGAGCAACTTAGCTTTATGTTGCTCCTTTTGGTGTGGGGCCCCGGGCAGTTGCCCTCCTTGATACCTCTTAACACCAGCCCTGGCTTTTATATGCAGAAAACAGTTGTTGTGGCACAAGTGGGCCGTGGAATTTTTATAGCATGCTGGGGGGCTGGGGCTTGGTAAGAAAGGTTGAGAACCCCTGCTGTAGCCGACAGAGCCAGAATGTTCTGTTGTATATTCTTCGTTTAGCATTTTGTTATGGTGAAAATGACTTAGGTCTTCTGCAAAATTAATGGAACTTTGTTGACATCTGATCCTACATATGAAGCTATTATCTGTTGTAGCAAGTTTGGTATAAATCTGTGCAGTGGTTCGTCTGTGACAGGGATCCGAAGAAAGGTGAGATTTGTTGGGTCAAATTTCTTGAGTGATTTTTTTTTTTTAAACATTCAGGAGCACTTGTCAATTCAGTCAGTACCCTCCAAAATTCACATACACTTCAGTTAGTATTTTCCACTTTCTGGTGTGGTATTTTTTTAAAACGGCAATCAGTTTGACCTACACAAACTTGCTAACAGTGTGCCCATAATACATGTCATGTGAGTTAAGTTGATCCTAGCACTTGCCAAATGTAAAATCAGAACTAACTAATTTTCCCTCAAACTTTGGCTTTAGATTGAGGTTTTTAATGAGATCTACAAAACAGGCAGTGTTTGTAGGAAATTGGTTGAGTTGTTTAAAAGTTATGGGTATTTTAAGTCAGCAAAACATTTTTGAAAATTGTGTATGTGATGGGCCGCCCCCATTGGCCTCATGCAGAGTTTGTACACCCCGTCACCCAGTTGTTGGGATTCCCTGTTAGATCAGGTAATTGCAGTATAGTGGGCTCTGGACTCCTGGCAGGGCCGAGAAAACAAACAGTCAGTAGCCCCCTGAGTCTCCGGGCTGGGGCAGACAACAGTTGGAGTTCTGGCCCTCTGGATAGGATAGAGCAATGGTCAGCCTGTAGCCCCCAGACAGGGCTAGGCAAACAAATAGTCAGTGATGAGCTGCCAAAATATTAACAGCTGGTTCCCTCCTCCTCACCCCACAAGGGGGTCGTGCCCCTCCCCCACCCCCGGGACCCCTGCCCCA